GGCCTGTCACCAACAGACAGTGCTCCAGCACCAGTGCCCTGAACCCAAGCCAGCCCAATAGCCCCTTGCTCTGTCCATGGATCCACAGCACATGGTCCCACACCCGGGGAGCAGCTCTGCCTGGCAGACATCTTTGCCTCAGCACAAGGACATTTCCATGGCCACCAAGGTCACCCTTTCCCTGCTTTCTATGCTCTGCTGGTTTCTGAGAGATGCCTCCTGGGCATTTTTGGAAATAGGCCCTTAGGATTATGTCTCATCAACTGCTAATGCTCCTTGTTTCTCCCCTTTTTGAACAGCTTGACCACCAAAGGTCCAGGGCTGAATGAGGCAGGGCCAGCAACCACATGCTCCAAACAATGTCTTTAAGGGCACCAATACAAACATCATGTGCGCAACCAAGGCTAAATCTACCTCTGGCTCCTCTGCACATCATCACTGGAACACACATGCCTCGGGGTGGAACCTACTGCACTGCTCAACTGCCAAGGTGAGCAGCCAGCACATCTGCCCTGGGCAGCTTCTTCTTGTGCCCCCACAGTAGCCCCATGTGCATGCATATTGGCCATGCATTTAACCCTGACCTGCCCCAAAGCTTGGATTCAGACCTCTGCTTCCCTTGCTGCTCATCTCAGTGTTCCCTCTCTGCTGGTGGCGGCTGTGTGCAGAGGGATGGCATCATGTGGTGCTTCCCAAGCTTTGGGCAAAGGCAGCTGGGATAGCACTGGCCACTGTCACTGCCTCCTCTGCCTGACTTTCAAGTGTATTGAGGCCCCCTCAATGGGATCCTTTGGGCTGGTACAGGAGGAAACCTGCAGCAAAGGGTGGCTGGCAGGGGACAGTTGAGTGAGATCTGCTGGGTCCAGTAGAGACCATCCTCCTGTTGTTACCATAAAAGTCAGTCAGAGAACCTCTCTAAGACTCAACTTTGAGTTTCAGAAAGCAGCATTCTTTATTTCAGTGATGGGCGCACATGCAAATAGCTTTGCAAAGGTGAGCATGCCCAGTACTTGCCGACAGCAGCTCTATATTTAGCGTACTCATGCATATTCTTAGCTTTTCCAGAAACTAATAATATTTGCACCCTAATTACACATGTGCTTTCTTGCTGAGTGGGGGTCTCTGGTGGTCACCGATAGTCTTCCTCAGTGTGTTTACTGAATGACCTCAGTGTTTGCGCACACTCGAAGGTCCTAGTGCTGAGTTAGCAGTTGGCATGTCCTTGCTTCTGTTCTGTTCCACTCTTGCTCCACATTGGGCACCACTCTGCTATCTTGAAGGCTGGCATCCTTGGTCTTATTTACTGTCTTCCTAGCTGTTATCAGTCCAGTGATGTTCCATCCCCCATCAGCTGAACATTCCTTTCTCTCTACGTGTTAGTAAGTTAGAACAGTTTAGTCTATTCTACTATGTTAAAGGTGCACACACTATTGTTAGTTTAAAATTTAAGCCTACACTGTAGCTGGAGGCCACCTTGTCCCTCTGCACAGTGGACAGCCATAAGCTGCATGTTTGTCTTCACCATCCACAGCCACCTCACTTGAAGTTCGCCTGAGGAAGGAAGCAATTTCCTGGGGAACTGGCTTGTGCTAGGCAGTGATGTTCTAAGGGTACTGCTGTAGTTGAAATAATTAAACTGCTCCCAGTGTAGACATGGTTAAACTGAGGTATGTCTTTTAGCCTGGTTTCCTATGGAAACAAGCCTTATACAATCCTGCTGTCTGTCATCTTTTCTCCCCCTCTTCCCCCCTAGTAGTTTTTGCACTGGTTGGTCAATTTCAACCAAATGTGACAGAAGTCTCCAGGCTGTCAAGTTTCTACAGATTTCATGGAAATAGGTGTTTGCATGGAGCAGAGGGACTCTGCTGGAGCCTGTCTCACAGGGAAGGGCAACAGTGAGGGTTTGACTCACACTGGTCACTAGAGAATCCCAGCATGGAGGAAAGCTTTGAAATGCCTCTGCCATGGGAACAGATGGAGTTGGAGTCTGCACCAGTATAAAACGCTGCTTTGCAAACACAGGCAGATCAAACTCAGGAGTAGTTTATTTTGTCTATGGGCCTGCTCCATTCCTCTGCTGGAAGTCCTCCTCCCAGGGCAGGGGGACTGAGCTGTGGTAGGAGAAACAACCCAAAACACTGCTTTTCATAGCCTGGTTTAATAAAACAGCCTTAAATGAGTACTGTTAAAAATACTCTGGCTGCAAGGTCTGGTGTTTCAGAAGCTACCCCTTCTGGGAGAGGCAGATGTTTGGAGGCCATAATAGCTTCAGTTCACATTTAATCCATGCATGTTTGGAGTCAACACCCTTGGAGAGACAGATCAGGTGACTGGGAGATAGTTGTAGCAATGCAAGCTTAATCCTGGTGCTTGGAGGATATGCTGCTGATTGCCTGTGGCTTCAGCAGTGCTGGGGGCTGGGGTCAGGAAGGGAGTCATCAGAGTTTCTCTGGTTGTGAACAGTTAGCTCCAGTGCAGTACTGGCTGTGTGCTGGAGTGGCGTTTGACTTGCCAGATGCAAGAGCTTGGTCTTGGAATCAGTTGCCGGGCAAAAGCTGAGCTCCAGTGATACGATTTTGGGTAGTAGACAGCATTTGCAGTTATGGCTGGAGCAATGGTGTGGGACAACACGTGGGTAGGAGGTGGCCTGTGGCTGGGTAGGCTGGTGGGTGAAAGCTGGGGCAGGGGAAGGTCTGCTGGTCTAAAATGGGAAAATCCTCCATTCCCCTGCATTGCTCCCTGAGGAAACTTCCAGGCAATAGCTTTTCCTCTAAGCTGACATTTTCCTCTAAGCTGACATTTAGCCTGTGGCATTTATCCATCCCCACTTCTTCCCTATTTACATAGTGGCAGAACACCTCATCCTGAGCACTGTCTGTAGGCGGGGAGAGCGCTGTGAGAACGCACTTCTTCCTCCCTGCCATGAGTAAGGCTTCCCGTGCTCCCACCCTGTCCAGGGCTCATACCAGCATGGAGGCACTATAGCCTTGTGCAGACAACCCAGCCTGAGCTCTGTGCTACTGCAGCTAAGCAGGAAAACATGCAAACAGCGAGCAGCTTTGAACTTGCCCTCTTTGCTGAGACAGCGTTTGCTGGAGTGTTTTCCCTCAGTGATGTTGGGGATGATCTGCAGGCATTTCATTGGAGAAAACAACAACCAAAAAAAAAAACCAACAAAAAAAACCCAACAGCAAAACTTCTCTCCTTTTTTTCCAAAAGGTGATGATTCTGTCTGTTTGTGTCTTTTAATAAGCGAGTTGTGGGTAGGGGTAGATTCTTGGTGGAGATCACGCAAGGTATCATTTTCCTGTCCTGAAAAAGGTGGAAACACGAGGAAGTGACTGGAAGACAGCATCTTCCGCCCCAGTGGGTGTGTTGGCTGCTATGAAAGGAGAAAGGGAAATCTCAGAGGGATATCTTCCCCTACCCACCTGATGCAAAAGGCCCATGAGATAACTTGAAGTACAATGGAGAAGGTATTTCAAAGTGAGCTTCGGGTCCTCCTGGCTGTCCTAGGCATGGTTTGATCTCCCACTCCAGTGCAGGTGCTGCAGCAGAGAGGCTGGACAAGCAAAGTAACCAAATTACGCCTTCTAATTCCATCTTGGCCTTCTGGTAAGATGAGTGCATGTGGGTGATGCAAGGGTAGTGTTTGACCCTGTGCTGACATAAATGAAATTAGTCGCTAATGAAGCATCTTCCTCTCAGGTTCAGAAATCATAGAATCCTCAACTGGTTTGTGTTGGAAGGGACCTTGAAGCTCATCCAGTTCCAACCCCCTGCCACGGGCAAGGACCCCTTCCACTAGAGCAGGTTGCTTCAAGCCCCTGTGTCCAACCTGGCCTTGAACACTGCCAGGGATGGGGCAGCCACAGCTTCTCTGGGCACCCTGTGCCAGCGCCTCAGCACCCTCACAGGGAAGAACCTCTTCCCTCTGGGAGGTTAAAGCCATTCCCCTTATCCTGTCACTTCCAGTTTCTATACCCCTGCTGCTTCTCCCTGTCTGTCTAACCTCCTACCGGCTCCAGCTGTGTCTGCGTCCTGCCCCGGGCTGTTGGTCACCCCTTCCCCAGCTCTAACTGACAGCTGGTGGCCTTGCTACCGTTTTCCACAGTGGTGTTATGAGGTGCTGAGGCTCCCTGTGTCAGCATTGGTGTTATTTTTGGCACTCCGCTTCAGGCTGAGATTCTCATATTTTGGCTTGAAAGTCTAGCTCCTGCCTTTTAACTTGGAAGAGGAGAAGGGCAGGATTCAAATCTGAAGGTTTCAGTCACCTGAAAGAGCCTAGAAAGACAGCATATTTTATCACTTAAACACCATATTTCCCACTATATAAAAAGCTTCTGTTCCTTCTCCCATCTGCTTGTACATTCCTGTGAGGGGTCTGAAACCAGGGATTGCCTTGGATTTGCCTGCGACGGACTGTGAGTTGCCCCATTGACACTCTGCAGCCCTCATTGAAGTGGGAGGCTGCAGCAGAGGGGAGGTGGTGAGCACAAGCTGTTGAGTTCTTCTGGCTCCTTGTCCTTCACATCTGATAACGTATGTCACTTTGGTAAGGTGCCTTGTACCTATTTGCTCTTCCCTGTTGCTCCCCCCCTCATATAGCAGACTCCATGCTAAATGGTGAATGTTGTAGAAAGCAAAATGTCTGGAGAGGAAGGTTTTCATCATCAAACCTCAGAGATAGAGCAATGGCTTTACCAGTCCCTGTAGGATGGCTCTGCAGTGGTACCAATGGTGCAGGAGGGGATGTTCCAGCTCTGCAGTGAAGGGCTGCTAGACACAGTGACTTGCAACCAGTGATGCCCACACCGGTCACTAACCAAGGCTCACCTAGCTGCTCTAAGCTGCCTTTTCTTCCAAGCAGGCACAGAGCTAGTGCTGTCCTGGGAGTGGATGCCCTGCCTTGGGAGCAGCTGGTCTGTGTCAGTCTGTGTAGGGTGATGGCCAGAAAAAAGCTTACTTTGCAGAGGGAGTTCCTGGGTCTGTGATGTTTCAAATGTCTGTAGGCTTTAAAACTGATCATGGTATATAGATGCTATGCAGTTGGGTGTATGCTCTTGGGCTGGTTGCATGCAGTTAGGTGTAGCAGTGTCTGAGCTTATGAGAAATCTTAGTGTTGGAGACTCTCAGGTTGTTGTTCCATTGGAATGAAGTACTTGTTGAGAAATGGTTTGGGATTAAGGAGTAAAGAACTGGTTTGTGCTGGTAAACAAAAGCTGAGATATGAGGTACGCCATGCTTGTCCTGTGGCTCTAGATGCATAACACAGAATGAGTGTGCTGAGATTTCCACAGAGGAGTCTAGGATGCTTTTAACCACAGTTACTGGAGTCACAATTATGTTTGTCTGGAGTGGTTTGATTTTCCTCTGATGAGTGGAAAGCTTTCACTGATGAGTCCTAGTTCATGCTAAAGATGTTCCATGGTAAGGGTGGGAGCAGGAGAGGAGGGGAGGTGATATGATCCAGTCAAAAATGGTGGCAGAAATCGATGTTAATTTCTGAAAGAACTCTCACTTCTAATTTCTTTTGTCTATTTAAGCCAGTGAAAAAAAAGAAGATAAAACGCGAGGTTAAGATTCTGGAGAATCTACGTGGTGGCACCAACATCATTAATCTGGTTGACACTGTCAAGGATCCAGTGGTAGGTGCCCATGTATTGCCTTCCCACCAGCTGCAAGCACGAGAAGCTGCCCCTTGGCTCCAGCTCTCAGCTTGGGTTAGGTGCTGCCTGTGCCTTTGTGCAGCCGGGGGTGAGCGGTGTCCAGCTCATCAGGGTCTCCTGAGGTGGGTTGGTTTGCATGGGCTCATGTTCCTCTCCACGTTCCCCAGATTCTTTTACACCCCTTATGTGAGTTTTCCATGACGGCAGAAGTTTTGTAGCCCTATAAATGTTCTGTAAGAAAGCAGAGCCTGTGGCCTTCCAACTTCTGTCTGGCATCTGGAAATATCCCCTTGGGCAATTGGATATTAAGCACTTTTCATCCTTCTGGTTGCTGTCCTGCCCAGTGACTAGAGGTCATAGAATCATAGAATAGTTAGGGTTGGAAAGGACCTTAAGATCATCGAGTTCCAACCCCCCTGCCATGGGCAGGGACACCTCGCTCTAAACCATATTACCCAAGGCCTCATCCAACCTGGCCTTGAACACTGCCAGGGATGAAGCATTCACAGCCTCCCTGGACAACCTATTCCAGTGCCTCACCACCCTAACAGGAAAGAATTTCCTCCTTATATCCAATCTAAACTTCCCCTGTTTAAGTTTTAACCCATTACCCCTTGTCCTACCACCACAGTCCCTAATGAAGAGTCCATCCCCAGCATCCCTATATGCCCCCTTCAGATACTGGAAGGCTGCAATGAGGTCTCCACGCAGCCTTCTCTTCTCCAGGCTGAACAGCCCCAATTTTCTCAGCCTGTCTTCATATGGGAGGTGCTCCAGTCCCCTGATCATTCTCGTGGCCCTCCTCTGGACTTGTTCCAACAGATCCATGTCCTTTTTATGTTGAGGACACCAGAACTGCACACAATACTCCAAGTGAGGTCTCACAAGAGCAGAATAGAGGGGCAGGATCACTTCCTTTGACCTGCTGGTCACACTCCTTTTGATGCAGCCTAGGATACGGTTGGCTTTCTGGGCTGCAAGCGCACACTGCTGGCTCATGTTCATTTTCTCATCGACCAGCACCCCCAAGTCCTTCTCCGCAGGGCTGCTCTGAATCTCTTCTCTGTCCAGCCTGTAGCTGTGTCTGGGATTGCTACGACCCAGGCAGTTTTAAACCATGACTTTCTTTCTCTTTTGCAGTCAAAGACCCCTGCTCTGGTGTTTGAATACATCAACAACACAGATTTTAAGGTGAGTCTGCCTGAGTGTGGTGGGGGAACCCATTTCTGTTGAGTGCTGTGATCTTGGGCTGCCAGTTACTCCTTGAGAACTGTGGGGGGAGTTTGGAGTTTTCACCTATTTCAGCTTCACCTTCCTTTCTCCCTGTAAATTAGAAATCTGTAATCAGGCTCTAGATGAGAAGAAATAGAAAGTTGAATCTCCTCCCAACTTGGAGGAGTAAGTTCAACAAGTTAGATATTTTTACTCCCCTCTCAATTTAGTAATTGATTGATTGATTGATGGCTTGGCTTTGCGAGCGAAGATTTGGGAAGGGCTTTAACCACGCTTGCTACAAGCACGATGACCAAGGGCAAGTGGGATATGCAAATCTGTGAAAAAGGGTGCTGAGGCAATCAGGAGGTGTCCGATGACGACACTCAACTCCTGAGCTGACTCGAGCTGTCCATGCGCTGCCCACATGCAACGTTGGATCTTGCAGCTTCCCATGCACCTTGTCACCTACCGTTTTGACCCTCGCTCGTCTATACAGACAAGTGAGAACAAGCCCTTCCTGTGCTATATATTCAGCCCAAATTAATCCCTTTGCTGTGGTTCTTTATTTACAGCAGTGCAGTTAATGGAGTAGGTGACACCAGTTTGTGCTGGAATCTTTCAGACCTGGGGACTGTGGGGTGCAGAGGCTGGAGAGAACATCTCCCACTGCCCATGGGCCTGGTAGCAGGGGACTGAGCAGCCTTGAATACATCTGAAGAGCTTTTCTGCTTGCCTGAGCCTGCAGCATATTACATGGCTCTTCAGATTTCTGGGGAGCTCTAAGGGGTATTATTCCCTCCCAAAATGAAGTGGGTCCTTCTCTGAGTGTAGCTACCACTGCCTGTGTGACTGAAATGCTTCTGGCTGACAGCAGTGAGCTGAACCACACAAGAAATATCTAATTAGCAGCTACACCTATTTTAACATTATCTTTGCTTCCCCCATGCAAGTGGAGTGGTAAGTAGTAACTTGAGGCTGATGACCAACGGGGACTCTGAACTGCAAAATGCAGGGCTAGGTGTCCATGGTAGGTCAGCTGTCCCAGACATGCTGTTGCATTAGAAACAGCTCTATGGGTTTGCAGCAGATCATTTCTAGGCTTTTAGGAGCAAGCCTGGCTCCTCAAGGAATCCCAGATTCACAGCTGTGCAAGTCCAAGACAGAAAGTATTGATGCTTCTGATGTTGATTGGTACAAATCAGGAATAACTTGTCTTGGGAATGCAGGCATGTTCCCCAGGGCAGACAGTATGGCCGTTCATGCTCAGAGCTTATTTGTAACCTCAATTTCACTAGCTACATATGGGACGTGTGGGTTATTGGAGCTACACTCCCATGGGATCCGCTGCCTCTTTTGGGTAGGTTCCTGGGGCTACAGCTAACTGGCAGATTACTGAGTGTAATTACAGATTACAGAGGGTACCTGTGGATGTCTTCCATAGAGGCTCCCAAGCTGTCTCTTCCCGTGCTCCATCCATCACCAGCTTTCCTCCACCACAGGTCTTTGTGGCACCATCAGCACAGAGGTACCTTCAGTGGGGTTAGGGGTCCCAGCTCATGTCTGCCAGGTTGAGGTGGCACTGTGGTCCTTGCAACAGGAACTTTGGGGAGAAACAGGGCCTTGCTGGAGCATTTTTGTCAGTTTTATGGCTTTTATCCTCTTTTTTCATGAAATCTCTGCAGGTTTCTTCTGGAGGTAGGGGAAATGAAAAGTCCCAGGGCCTTGTGTTCTGCCACCTCCCCTCTGCCCGCAGTAGCCTTGCTGGGTTCAGCAGTTCTGGCCCCTCCACTTGCAGCATGACTGCTGAGGCAGCTCCAGTGCTGGTGGTCCTAGCTGGAAGAGCACCACATGGCTCTCAATCTGGTCTTGTTCAAGAGAGGTGACTCTTGAGGGGGGGAATGCTGCTGGGAGCTGAGCTTCCACTGGAGCTTTGCTCTGGAGCCCCAGCAGCATCCCCATCTCTGTGACCTTTTCTCCATCCACATGCTCCACTCTCTACCACATGACGCTGAAAGTGCCATAAGGCTGCCTGTGGAATAGGCTTGTGACCCTGGCAGTCCCTGCCCAGGCCCAGCTGCTCCTTGCCTCAGTTTCCCTACCAACAAATCCCATAAGAAGACCTCCCACATGGAGGTGCTTCCAGCTTGCATTGGTGCTCGTTGCAGGTAGAGAGTGTAAAACCCCATCCCCACCCCTTCACATGACCCTTCAGCTCCAGGCTTCCCTGTCACTACATAGGGTTACCTGGATCTGTCCCAGGGCCTGGGACCACAGGTCCCTGACTGTCCACTCTGCTCTGGATATGGAGATGTGAGGAAAGAAAGGCTCCAGCCAGAGGATAAAAAGGAGCTTCTACTTTTGCACCAGTGATGACAGTTCCATACGCTGCTGCTGGCATTGGCCATGCCATGGAAAATTACCCGGCTCTGCTGGTGCAGGAGTCAGTCCGTGCATGGGGGAAGGAGGGGGTACAAAATGGGGATGGCTGGGGTGTGTGCTTGGGAAACACACCAAATGGCTGGGGTGGAGGGATCCAGCACCCAGCCAGGAGGCTTAAAATAGCATCTCCTGATGCCTGTTTGGCCCCTGTGGTCACCATGGGCTGTGGATGAGGGGGTGAATAGCCCTGGGATGGCAAACTCTTTTTCATCCCACCAGCCCACAGTGGTGGGGCAGAGGCTTGGGTCTGGTGAGCAGCACTGTGCTTCTGGCAGCCATTTGTGACCTAATTTACCCCGCAGCATCCAACTGCTTCCTCCTGCTTCTGGCTCTCATCCCTTTGGAGCTGGTGGCTCCCAGGCTGCTCGGGCTTTCCAGGAGCCTGGCCAGGAGTCCCTGTGCTGCTGGGGAAGCTGGTGTCTGGCTGGTGGAACCCCAGCCCTGAGTAGAAGGGGAGGATGGTGCAGAGCTCTGCTGGTCCCCTCAGACCCACTTGCTTTGGTGGGCTGAGTTCAGGGTATTGCCTGATGGCCAGCCTTGAGCCTGTGTCCATCACCACCCAACTGCTTTGGTATGTGGTGGGAATCTGGCCCCAGCCCCATAGCAAAGCCCAGTTGAGAGAGACCAAGGGGGTTGGCTGTGGCAGCACTTGATGCTGTGGAGCATCCCCTGTGTTTGACATATCCCCAACATGATCGTCCCTCTGGCACAAGGGACGGGACATCCCTCAGACACCTGTAGCCCAACTTCTGCATCATCACCCACATCTCTGTGCAAGAGGGCTCTTCAGGTCCTTGGGAAGTGCTGGTGCCACAGCATCAGGGTACATGACTAAATGCCAGGAGATGACACAAATCTGCAGGCAGCACCCCCAAACCCCTAGCAAGGTCCTGGGGAGTCCCTGTCCAGGGCTATTACCTCCCTGATGCCATCTCTGGAGCCAGACCTTTGACTGGCTTCGTGTTTCATGGCTGAGCTAAAGCACGGGGAAAGCCATGTGGAAAACGCCACGTTGACCCACATTAAAAGTGCAATGAAAAATAACGTAGAAAATTCTGTGCTGTAGAACTCCTTTGCTTCCCTTTAATCACACAGTTCAGGGTGCAAAAGGCTCCATGTGAAGGTGGTTTCTGAACCCCCACATGGGGTGACACCCCAGTCCTTCCAGCTTAGAGTACACAGAGATTTTGCTCTTCCAAAATCCTAATTAATCATGCGATTATCTCAGGCACAGGGCTCTGCTCCTTTGGCAAGGCAGCCTTCTAAAAGCTGTCATTTGATAAAGTCGGACTTCATGTGGAGAAGTGTCCTGGGTTCAGTAGTAGCAGTCATTTTGTTCCTTCTTAGTAGCTGGTGCAGTGCTGTGGTTTTGACTTTAGTCTGAGAACGATGATAACAGCGATGATGTTTTCAGTTGTTGCTAAGGAATGTTTACTCTGATCAAGGACTTTTAGTCTCATGCTCTGCCAGGGAGAAGGGGAAGTCGGGAGGAAGAAGAGACAGGACGCCTGATCCAAACTAGCCAAAGGGGTATTCCATACCACAACATGTCATGTCCAGTATAGAAACTGGGGGCAGTTACCTGGAAGGCCCAGGTCGCTGCTCGGGTCGGGCTGGGTCTCAGCGGGTGGTGAGCGGTTGTATTCTCTCTCCTTGTTATTTCCCTTATCATTATTATTGGTGGCAGCAGCAGTGGTTTGTGTTATACCTTAGTTACTGGACTGTTCTTATCTCAACCCGTGAGAGTTACATTCTTTCAATTCTCCTCCCCATCTCTCCAGCAGTGGGGGGGGGGGGGGAAGGCGGGGCAGAGGGAAGAAGAGGGAGAGTAAGTGGCTGCATGCTTCTGAGTTACTGGCTGGGCTTAAACTATGACAAGAAGATAAATCCCCAGTGTGAAGAATCATTTATTCCCACAGAAATCCCTGGCATTTGGAGGAGGAGGAGGTTTAAATTTGCACAGCATCAGTAAGATTTTAATCCAACCCTGTCTAATCCCTCACCAATTCAGAGGAAACCCCTTGGCTGATGGACACACAGAAGGGTAGCCCTGAAGGCAGGGAAGATCTGAGCCCATTGAAGTGTTGGGCTGGCTCCTAGTTGAGAGATTCAAGGCTCCCTGTGCTCCCTGACATCTCTCTGAGCTGGGAAGATGAACAGAGACTGGATACAGAGCTCCTGGTGACTCAGTGGGAGAGGCTGAAGTCAGCTGAAAACTGGCTGCCATCCAAAACGCCTGGGACAAGCTGTTTAAACAGATGTAACAGGGATGGAGATGGATATCTGTATCAGCAGATGCTCCTCCAGCCCCTCAGAAGGTGTTTGTAGGATGAGCTGCCCGTGGCCATTCTCAAGGCACCCCGTGGCCCAGCAGTGAAAGGTGCTGTGAAGCACAGAGCTGTGTTGGCCACTGCAGTTGGCCAAGGGGTAATGAGGTTGAGGTCTGGAGTACCTGTGGGCACCTGCTGCCATCCTGGGAATTTAAGGTTGGGGGCAAACCTGGATGTCTGGATGAGGGTGGTGCTAACAAGACCCTGGTTCAACCTCCCTTGTAATACCAGCACTGCTCCCATGGGTGGTGGTTACAAGGAATGCCAAGAAAACCCTTTCCAGGGCTAGCCTAGGTCCACTGCTGGCTGGTCCCCAGGACCTCCAGAGGTTGTCTCCAAGATCCCTACCCTCTTGCAGCATCTTGCATGGACCTTGCAGGATCTTGCAGTGTAGGAAAACTTGAGCTTCACACAACCTACAAGAAGCCTTGGAAAACCAACGTTGACAAATAAATAGCACTGAAAGGCAGGATGGAGCAGCAGCAAGCCCTGACTCATGCATTCTGCCTTTGCAAGGAAGATATGGAATGTTTTCCTTGGACTCCCCTGGAAGATATGCCCAGCAGGGAAGAGGAGCAAGTGCTAGCCTGGACACTAGACCACAGCCCTGCTCCTGGGAGCAGCCCCTGTGGGTTGATGGGGAAACATCCCATTGAAGGCAGGTGATGGGGTCCTCAGTGATTCTGCATGGGAATGTTTTGGGAAGGGCCAGTTCTGAATGGCGTGTCTTGTGCAGTTGCCCAAAGGAGATTGTGAATGCTCCATCCCTGGCAGTGTTCAAGGCCAGGTTGCACACAAGGGCTTGGAGCAAGCTGCTCTAGTGGAAGGTGTCCCTGCCCGTGGCAGGGGGTTGGAACTGAATGAGCTTTAAGGGCCCTTCCAACCCAAACCAGTCTGGGATTCTGTGATTCTGTGATTCTATGACCTTGGGAGTTGAGGCTGTTATATCCCCAACTGTGGAAAACATGAATTAAAGCAGTACTAAGAAAGTACAGAAGAAGGAACAGTGGCAGGATGGGCTTGCCCAGCATGGAGGCAAGTCGGAATTAGCCCTTGCTCTAGGGGCAGGCTGGTGCCCTCTGTCCTTGCTGGACAAGCTGTCCCAATTCAGAAAAAAGCCTTGCTTCATATCCTGCCACCTTGGGAGCCCCAGGCTCCTTTAGAAACTTGGGCACCCTTACAAGGGTGGTGGGCAAACCTCCTCAAACTGGCTGCCCTGCAGAGCTGGTGGCCCCTGACAATGCAGGATCATAGCCAGGACAGAGGGGGCAACCACCAGCATCCGTACCTCACACAGAAGATGAGGGTCCTGCATCTTCCCTACTGTGGGACCAGCACTCTCCAACCACCCCCACGGTGGTGTTCACAGCCACTGGTTTTGCCTGACCTAAATGGCCACCCCACAGCCTCCTGCTCTACCCCAAATAGCTGCCACCCCAGCATCAAATATGTGGGGGATCATCACTCCTCCAGTATGGCCTCCACTCCTGGGTGGTACTTCAGACACCATGGTTATCACCATCCTCACTCCCTGGCACCCCCCAGACCATCATGACCCTACTGTGGGGACCTTCATTGCACAGGTCCATCTTCTCCTGGCACCACCTGGGATCCTTGACCATGACCAACCTATGCTCAGGGGAACCTGCACCCCCCTGCTCCAGAGGACACCCAGGTGCCTTGTCATCCTTACTCTTGTTTCTGGGTGCTCTCAGCTCCTTTGTCCTACATGCCCCCACTCCCCAGACTCCCTAGATCTCTTGGCCATAATCATAGAATCATAGAATCACAGAATGGTTTGGGTTGGAAAGGACCTTAAGATCATCAAGTTCCAATCCCCCTGCCATGGGCAGGGACACCTCGCTCTAAACCATGTCACCCAAGGCTCTGCCCAGACTGACCTTGAACATTGCCAGGGATGGAGCATTCACAACTTCCTTGGGCGACCCATTCCAGTGCCTCACCACCCTCACAATAAAGAACTTCCTTATATCCAATCTAAACTTCCCCTGTTTAAGTTTGAACCTGTTACCCCTTGTCCTATCAGTACAGTCCCTAATGAAGAGTCCATCCCCAGCATCCCTATAGGCCCCCTTCAGATACTGGAAGGCTGCTATGAGGTCTCCACGCAGCCTTCTCTTCTCCAGGCTGAACAGCCCCAATTTTCTCAGCCTGTCTTCATATGGGAGGTGCTCCAGTCCCCTGATCATCCTCGTGGCCCTCCTCTGGACTTGTTCCAACAGTTCCATGTCCTTTCTATGTTGAGGACACCAGAGCTGCACACAATACTCCAGGCGAGGTCTCACGAGAGCAGAGCAGAGGGGCAGGATCACCTCCTTTGACCTGCTGGTCACACTCCTTTTGATGCAGCCCAGGATACGGTTGGCTTTCTGGGCTGCGAGCGCACGCTGAAGCCAGCTCATGCTCATTTTCTCATCGACCAGCACCCCCAAGTCCTTCTCCACGGGGCTGCTCTGAATCTGTTTGCTGTGCAACCTGTAGCTGTGAAATGACTCTGTTCTAGGTAACACAGATCCCTTCTTGTCCTGGAATCCTCCCTGGGCACCTTGATCATCACTATCCCCTGCTCTCAGGGACCCCACAGAACCCCCAGGCGTGCCTCCATACCTGAGTCTTGGGAATGCAGGCATGTTCCCCAGGGCAGACAGTATGGCCGTTCATGCTCAGAGCTTATTTGTAACCTCAATTTCACTAGCTACATATGGGACGTGTGGGTTATTGGAGCTACACTCCCATGGGATTCGCTGCCTCTTTTGGGTAGGTTCCTGGGGCTACAGCTAACTGGCAGATTACTGAGTGTAATTACAGATTACAGAGGGTACCTGTGGATGTCTTCCATAGAGGCTCCCAAGCTGTCTCTTCCCATGTTCTGAAGTGCCCTTGCCAAGCAGAAAACACATAGAATAGGTGAGATGACTTGTGTTGGATGTCTTGGCTTGCCATATACCTCTATACATGAAGTAGCTGTAGAGCACCCAGCTCCAGTCATTGCCCACTCTGCTCCACTGTCCTGATCTCCCTGAGCAGCCAAATTCTGCTGCAGTTAAGTGCCTGTGCCTCTCACTGGCAGATCGCCTTCAGGGTTCATGGGGGTTTCCCAGGGCAGCTTGTGTACAGCAGGTTGCTGACTGCTTTACAGTATTGTGGTTTTCTCTGTCCTGTTGGCAGTAGTTGCTCACAAGCTTAGTTGTCTCCAGTCCAGCAGTTTTTTTCCTTCAATGTTACTATTTTTTGTTTACTGTTAATATCTTCACCCCTTTGCCCATTCGGATGGCAGGACATTGTTTATGTCTGGGAACCTGGGAAAACAGCTGCTGGGTTTCCTTAGCTCTCCAGAAGCTATGGCTCTGTGGGGCCTAAGCAATGGCTGTGGATGATTCTGGATCAGAAGCACCAGCTTGTATTACACATGATTTGTCTATTTTTAAATGGCAGTATAAAAAGCAGATTTATGAGATATCTCCCCAGAGCTGATCACAATTTTTTTAAGTTGCCTGGCTGGGTCCTTGTCATGATTTAAGCTATAAGCTCAGCCAGTAACTCAGAACCCCACAGCCGCTCACTCACTTCCCCCTTCTTCCCCCTGCTCCTGGAGGGATGGGGAGGAGAATGGAAAAAATGTAACTCCCATGGGTTGAGATAAGAATATTTCAGTAACTAAGTATAACACAAACCCTGTACTGCTACCACCACCAATAATAATGATAAGGGAAATAACAAGGGGAGAGAACATAAAACTAAAAAGGGAAGGGAAACCCCCCCCCAGTAAACCCGAGTGATGCTTAATACAATTGCTCACCACCCACTGACTGATACCCAGCCCAACCGGAGCAGCAACCTGGGCCTTCTGGGTGACTCCCCCTAGTTTATATGCTGGGCATGACGTGCTGTGGTATGGAATACCTCTTTGGCTAGTTTGGGTCAGGTGTCCTGTGTCTGCTTCCTCCCGGCTTCCCCTCCTCCCTGGCAGAGCATGAGACTGAAAAGCCCTTGATCGGAGTAAGCATTACTTAACACACCGATGTTTTTAGTTTTTGCTATCAGCACTGTTCTCAGGCTAAAGTCGAAACCACAGCACTGCACCAGCTACTAGGATGGAGAAAAATAACTGTTACTGCTAAACCCAGGACAGTCCTGTCTGAAAGTGATGGCTCTGTACTTGCAGGGATGATGCTGATCATCCTTAGAACTAAACTAGTTCTAGGGATGATCAGTTCCATCCTTGGAACTAGACTACATGTGTATGCTGCTGCCTGAGGACTGCAGCTTGTGTACAGGGCTAGTGCTTCTCTTCAGACCTGCTGTATTACTTGTCATCTGGTAGCACTCAAGCTATCCCACAGTCATCTGCTTTAAATGAGAGCTGCACTGCAGGGCTTTGCAGTCAACTGAGTGAAATTAAATCCGTGAAATTAAATGTTTTTTGCTAATTGGTTTCAAACCAATGAGATGCCTGTCCTTCAACCACCAACAGCTCTCTTGTTTTGTGTAGTCTGTGAGCATACCTGGTACTGCACCTTCCATTGCTCCAAAAGGGAAATTCCCTCAGGAAAGAAGGGGACAGAACCAGGCCTTCAGCAGTTTTGGGTTGGGTTTGCTGTTTTGATCTTAAAACACACTAACAAGTTTGCAGCTGAAGAAGAGATGGGCAAAAAAGGTGAGTGATGAAAGGTTGTTTCAGGATGTTCAGCCTGTTGGAAGTTGTGAGGACAGCAGGTTTTTTATTCAAATCTTCCACGCTACCTTTTGATGCAGCCCAGGATACGGTTGGCTTTCTAGGCTGCGAGCTCACACTGAAACTGGCTCATGTTCATTTTCTCACCGACCAACACCCCCAAGTCCTTCTCCGCAGGGCTGCTCTGAATCTCTTCTCTGCCCAGCCTGCAGCTGTGCCTGGGATTGCTCCGACCCAGGTGTAGGACCTTGCACTTGGCATGGTTAAACTTCATAAGGTTGGCATCAGCCCACCTCACAATCATGTCAAGGTCCCTCTGGATGGAAGAATATTGCACGTGCATGGGTGAGCACAGGTTCTGGTTTGGTGTGATCATCATGGAATCTTAGACTGGTTTGGGTTGGAAAGGACCTTAAGATCATCCAGTTCCAACCCCCTGCCATGGGCAGGGACACCTTCCACTAGATCAGGTTGCTCCAAGCCCTGTCCAACCTGGCCTTGAACACTGCCAGGGACGGGGCAGCCACAGCTTCTCTGGGCACCCTGTGCCAGTGCCTCAGCACCCTCACAGGGAAGAGCATCTTCCTAATATCTAACCTGAACTTCCCTTATTTAAGTTTAAATCCATTCCCCCTTGACCCATCGGTACAGTCCCTGATGAAGAGTCCCTCTCTGGCATCCTTGTAGGCCCCCTTCAGACACTGGCAGCTGCTCTAAGGTCTCCCCTTCAGGAGCCTTCTCTTCTCCAGGCTGACCCAGACCAGCTCTCTCAGCCTGGCTCCAGAGCAGAGCTGCTTCAGCCCTTGCAGTATCTCCATTGTCTCCTCTGGACTCGCTCCAGCAGCTCCACATCCCTCTTGTGCTGCTGCCCCAGAGCTGGATCAGGACTGCAGGGGGGGTCTCCCCAGAGTGCAGCAGAGGGGGAGAATCCCCTCCCTCGACCTGCTGCTCACACTTTGGGGTGCAGCCCAGCACATGGGGGGGGGGGCTCTGGGCTGCAAGTGCACACTGCCAGATGATATATGTTCATGCAGGTGTGTATGTTTGCACTGGCAGGTAGTGTGTGCGCACAGGTATTGTAGATGTGTGTGTGTGTGTGTGTACATATGTGGACATCGTGTCCCCCTGCAGCCAGCACTGCCCTGGGGAGTGGGTCCTCATGGTGTCAGGGGGTTTTGTGAGTTAGATGAGAGGAGGGAGGATGTCTCTGTCCCTAATGGCTACTTCTCTCCCCAGGACAACCCGGATGTTTTCTCCACAGAAGACACAGACTGGAAGGTAGGACCAGCCACGGGGGGTGCCCCCCCTGGGTCCCACAGGAGATGGCATTCTGAGGCTGGGGAAGGCTGCAGGGTGCTGAGTGAACCCAGGGGTGCTTCTGTCCCCCTTTTCCATGGGGACACAGTGCCTGGTCAGTGTCTGTACCTGGGGCTGCATATCCATTGCAGATGCCAGAAGGAGGGGATGGTATCAGGCATCTCTGTTCTGGCACTGGGTGTGGCTGTGGGCACTTGGCAAAGAGCCGGGGACAAAACCTCTTTAAAAGAGTCAATTTCTTCTCAGGAGGGCTAAGCTGCTTTTCAAGCCCCTCCACCATTGCCATGGCAATGGTTTCCTAGGCAACGCCAGCTCCTTGCTTACATAAGGATGTTTGAAAGCCTTTCTTTTTCAGAGGCTTTGGCATTGCCTCTTTTGGAGAGCAGGGCCCCTCTGCTCCCTGACTGGCACCTGCCCACCTTGTACTTCCATTTCACCTCTCTGTAGGAGCCCCACGACATGGCCTCAAGGCTTGTGTGGCTCAGCTTATGCCTGGCTCCCACTTTGGTGGGCTTAACTGTCACACCTCTGCCCAAGCTCATCCTGCACCAGGCTCCCCCTGCAGAGACCAGGGTACCAGTAGATGGGGAGAAAGGGCAGTGGGGCTGCCAGACCCCAGCTTGCTGCCTATCCCTCTCCCAGAGCATCCCCCCTTCCCAAGGGACACCAGTGACTGGCTTCAGGTTCTATGTTGCTGCTTTGCCAGTGGCTGGGACCACCAGGAGGGTGGGCTTGGATGGTGCTGTCTGAGCCCTGCCAGGTCTGGCACTGAAACAGCAGCACCTGCAAGGGTGAAATGAATCTGGATTTCATTCACCTTGGGAGAAGAGCAAGGGAGCACAGGTCCCTCTTGTCAGATCCAAAGTGATGCCCAGGCTTTTGGGGCCCACCTGCTCAGTCTCCATCATCCATGCAAGTACAGCCAGGTGGGGAGCAAGGACTTCCATCAGGTTGCTGGGCTGGTGGTTTGCAGAGTAGGACTTTTTTGGTGTCTCTCTTGGAGATATTATTAATTATTAAAATTATGAATTATTAAGTTTTTAAAAGACGGCAGTGGTGGAAAAGAAATAATACCATTCCTAGCAGCCCTAAAGCTGGGGAGATGCTGGGGCTGGGAGTGACAGTCTGTGTAGGTCTGGGCTGCTCCTTGCTCTGCTTGCTCAGGGTCCCTGTTGACAACTGGGGGGGAAATGAATCCTGGTGTCACTGATGTGAGGGTGAGGAGGGTGAAGAAAACACCATGGGCACCAGTATGGCTCTCACTCACCTGTGCTGGGGCAGGGCTTGGTTGGCATGCAGGGGATATTAAAGAGCAACGACTCTCCCAGGACAACCTTTGCATGCCAGTATTTCAGGGATTGGCCCACAGTGATGCTGACCCATGTCCCTGCTGGTGCCCATGTGGAGTGGGTCCAGACAGCAAATGCCCCAGCAATGCACCTCGGTACCTAAAGGATGACCTGAGCAAGGATCAAAGCAGCATTCCCAAACCAGCCAGGCCCTGAGCCCTCCTGCTTCACCTCCAAGAGCCTCAGGGTGGGATAGGATGAGCTCCCCAGGCTGTGCAGTGGCAACCTCCCCTTTTTCCCCTACTCCAGCACTTTTCCCTCACCTCTTTGGGGTATTTAATCCTGCCCCAGTTAAACTCTTGGCTGTCCCTCTGCTCCTCCCCAGAGCCATCACTGCTCCCTTGCCAAGATGCTCTTGCCTGGGGGGGGGGCTGTGGGGTGGAGCAGGGGTCCCCCATTCTCACACTAGCCACAGTAAAGCCCTTGGGGCTGCTGGAATAAGCCAGGTTGTTGGAATGCATGGGGCAGGAGCCTCTGCCCTGGGACCTGGGGGCCCTGGCCCTGCTGGAGTTCTGGGCCACCCGCCAGCAGATGGTCTCATAGCCAGTGGGGTGGCAATGACATTCAGTGCCATTCAAATGGAGTGAGCCTTGCTCAGCCCTCCCGTGTCCCTGCAACCCTTTTGCATTCACCTCAGCTTTTCCACCCCTTCTCCCTCTATTTTGCCACTGTCTGATTTTTTCTGCCTGCTCATGCCCCTCTGCATATCTTGCTTTTCCCTGAAGGCTGTGGCTGCTTGTGCTCTTTGGCTCCACAGGCAGCATGGTCTGAGGAAAGCAAGAATTCCACCTGAACCCATGAACAGCTTTGTACCTGTGCCAGGACCCCCTGGAAGATGGGCTTACCCCTCACATGGTCCTTCTTTAGCAGAGATGGATCTTGGGCTTGGCTCTGAGCTCCAGGCAGGACAAAGCAATGCAGAGGAAAACCTCTTTGGGGCAGGCAGGGTGGATGCCATCCCTCTGCCTTCCTGTCCATCCTTTCTTCAACATTCAGACCCCCTGACTTGTTTGCAGGACACCACGTTCGGTGGCTTCCCACCAGCTCTGGGTGATCAATTGCCCAGGTCAGGGAAAGGGCTCTCCCCAAGGAAAAGGGGCTCTGTTATTATACATCAGAGACTCCATGGGAACGAGCCTGCCGGTTGAAGCTGAGATCACGGGGCTTGAGCTGTGATTCCTGATGCATGTGCATTGCTGCAGGCTACAGGTCCAGCATGATTCTGCATGTTTGCATGTGGCTGGAGCCACACGTGTGTGCTGGGTGCCCAGGCACCCCAGCCTGTCCCGCTGTGCCTGAGAAGGGAAAATGGAGCAGGCTCTGCATGGCACCAGGCAGTTTTTCCTTCATAAACAAGGATATTTGGGGCTAACTGGAGCATGACTAATTCCGTTGGCAGCCAATGGCTGAGTGCTGGCTCCATCGCAGTGCTCCCGCAATAGAGCCCAACCTGTGTTCAGGGGGGAGGGAGGCAGAGGCAGGGCTTAGCACAGGGCTGGGGCTCTGCTATAAAGCCAGGCGAAGGGCTGAGCCAGTTCAGAGTTCTGCTTCACCCAGTCCACTGCACCACTGTGCCCCGCACCGGGACCCTGCTCTTGTTCCACTCTGCCTGAGCATCCTTGTCCTCCTAGTTCCTCACCGTGCCTGAGTGCTGGGATGGGGTAGGTACCACCGCTCCGTGTTTACTGCCCTCCCTTTGCCGAGTTCTGCCTCAAGTACCTCCCCTGCTCGTTGAGGCTGGACCTTTGTACCCAGCAGGGCTTGGAGTGGGGCAGGCAGGGGTTGGTGAGGGGGAACCTGCTGCTGGGGAGCTTTTGTTTCTTGCAGCCCCACTGATGCATATCTGATGTGCCACAGGCTTCAGGGACGCAGTGTCCTTGAGCATGTCCTCCCCGAGCCCAGCTGAGATGCTGCACCCAGGCTGAGTGTGGCTGCAGAGGCTGCTGATGGGGGGAGGGGTGGTACCTTGCCCCTTCCCCACCCCAGATCTGCAGAGGGAGAGGGTCTCCTGCTGTTTTGAAGCAATCTCTTGGATGCTTTTTGGTCTCTGCACTGATGGCAACAGACTGGTGCAGAGGCACCAGTAACTTACCTCAGCAGTAACTTAAGTGACCTGTACAGGGCTGGGTGTCTGAGTCACCTATGGGTGCTGTGACACTCCTCTTCCACCTCACCCTACTCCACTTCTTGCTAGGGCCATGGGTTGTCAGTGCTCTCCACTTCTTGCTGCCTGCATCCCCTACATCCTTATCTTCCCCCCCCCCGAGAGCATCCCTGCGGCAAAGGGCAGGGCTGTGGTACCCAGGAATACTGCAGAGGCTGCACCATGGGCAGGGATGTGCCTGGCTGGGGGGGGTGTGATGGGGGGGGGGGGGGGGGCTGGGGAAGGAGCTGCCACCTTGGGCATGTGATTTTGGGGTGGGAATGCAGCCTGAGCTGTTGGAGCTATGATGAGGACCATGGGCACAGGGATGGCAAAGAGGCAGCCCTGTGCCCAGGATCAGACTACATGGATGCCTCCTGCTCTGTGACCTTGGGCCAGGCCCTTCCTCTGCTTCAGTTTTCCCACCGTTGGTGCAGGGGGATGTCCCTGCTCATTACCTGCTGTCTGATACAGCCCTGGGGATTGGAGGGGCAGCTGTGGATGAGGGGTGGGGTTGGGTTGGGTTCCCTTTGGGGAGCAGAGTGTGGTCTCCACAGAGCTTTTGAGCTGCCCTCAGGCATTGCATCCCCCCCCAGACAATGGATCTCAGTGAGGGGAGGCACTGCAGTGAGGAGACCATGCCCTTAGGCAGTTCCTCCCACCTCAGGCCCATGTCCTTCAGAATCCTTGGCAGCACATAACCCACAGGAGCATCCACATACCTGCTCCCCTCCCACCAGCCCATCTGTGAGGCTGTCAGTTCCCACAGTGAGGATTGTGCCAGCATCCTCTGCCCACCCCATGATGTTCCTGTTCCCACCAGATCCTGGATTCAAGGTCACTGGCTGGCAGGGATGGGCATCCGGAGGGGACCTTGGTCCCTTGTCCCCAGGCAGCTTGCAGCCTCATTTTCCTTTGCTGGCTGGGGATGATGGCTGTGAGCCCTCCCAGCCAGGGAAACTGAGGCACAGGGCAGCCCTGGTCTCTGTATGGGGGCACAGCCATGTCAGACCGAGATGTTTTTAAGTTACTTTATCTGTGATTTGGGCATCAGGCTTCAGAGTTTCCCAGGGCAGTGTCTGGGGCCTGACCTCTGCCTGTTTGTCCCAGGCACAACGAATCCAGGCCAACTGGGCCACGCTGTCATCCCCACCCTGTTGCCAAACTCCCCCAGTCTCAGGCCCTTGAAGATCTCCTGTCCCATGCTGTGGTCTACCTGTCCTGTTCCATGATCCTTGTCTCCCAAGACATCTTGGATCATTCCATCCCATCCCAAACTTCTATCCCTTGATCCCATCCTGTGATCCTACCCCATGATTCACCATGATCCTAAATCACATTATCCTATCCCAAGTCCTCCCTTTCCTTCCTTGTGATTTGCCTCCCTTCTGCAACTGCAGGGATGCCCAAAGCTGGGTTTTTTCTTGTAATGGCTACTTCCCTTTCCCTTGTGCTCCCATGGGGTCCAGCTGCCTAGGGTGAGGGCTGGGGTGATGGAGCATGAGAGGATGTTTTGGGGGAAATGCATCACCCCATCTCTTCCATCAGGAACATGACATTGAGACCCCCTATGGACTGCTGCATGTGGTCATCCAGGGCTCTCCCAAGGGGAATCGCCCGGCCATCCTGACATACCACGATGTGGGCCTCAACCGTGAGTGCAGGTCCCTGAGCCATGGGGTGCAGGGGCAGAAGGGAGCAAGCTTGGGGCTGCAGTGGGTGCAGGATGTTAGCCTCCCATGGAGGGTCCCCAGGTTGCGTTGGGTGCCTCCAGGTATCTGATAGCACCAGGAGGGTTTGGATGCTCAGCACAGCCCAAAGCCCAGGCCAGGAGTGCTTGGACACCCTGCTGGCCACATCAGATGGGATGGGACATGAGGGATGCTGGATGGGTTTCTGCTGCTGCCTGCCCATTGGAATCCAGAGCATGCACCCTGTCGTGGGGTGTGAAGGAGATGGGGAAGAGTAGGGAAGGAGAGACCTGATCTGGGGATTCTGTGCTATCTGGTTTAGATGGAGATGAGGAACAATTTCTGGAAGTGTTCACAAACCATGTTGCTGAGTCCCTTAGTGACATGGGTTAGTGGTGGCCTTGGCAGTGCTGGGTAATCTTGGTGACCTTGAAGGTCTTTTCCAACCTGGTTGATTCTATGATTAGACCTGCAGCCCAGACCCTGGGCTGTATCCCTGAGCTGAGCCAAGCTGGGATGCCCAGTGCCCTGTGTGAGGAGGAGCTGAGGCTGAGTCACTACGAGTAGAAATGAACATTCTCACTTCCAGGGATGTACCATGTCAGTTGCAATGGCCCTTACAACCTGCCTCACCCCTATGTTTTAGGAGGGGTGTCCTGGCACAGATGCCATGGGGCAGAACCCCTCCAAGCTCTGACAATGGCTGTATCCCACTGCAATGGTGGTGGCCTGTCCACAGCAGCACCAGGGCTGTTTCTTTGACTGTTTCCAAGCAGGGAGATTTGCAACCATTTCTAAAATCCCATGTTTGATTGAGCCCATGCTGGAGATTTTGGATAGGGCTGATAATACCCCAGGCTACTGATCCTGCTGCCCAGGGTGATCCTGCAGCTCTGGGCTTTGAGTTCTCCAGTCCCATCCCTCCAAGCTGACAAGGCCAATCCCAAACTCCTCATTCTCCTGGCTGTGTCTGTCCATCTCCATGCTTCCCAGCACCAGTAGGGATGCAGGACTTGCTAACAGTGACTGTGGTCTCTGCTGTGGGGACAAGGAGCCTGGCGGGAAGGGGATGGGAGGGCTTTGGTGACATGTCATCTCCTGGTTGAAGGGCAGTGGGAGGCGTAGGTAACATTTCTGCATACTCTCCGGCCCCTGCGCCGGGGTGTTTAGTGTCTGATCCCTGCCTACCCTTTGACAGACAAGCTTTGCTTCAATACCTTCTTCAACTATGAGGACATGCAGGAGATCACGAAGCACTTTGTGGTGTGCCATGTGGATGCACTGGGCCAGCAGGCAGGAGCCTCGCAGTTCCCTCAGGGGTAGGTGCCAGATTCAGGGGCTCACTATGCCCACAGGGTGTCACCTCCCTGCCTGCTGGGATGTCACTTCCCTGGCCATGGGCATGTAACTTCTCTGTCACCTCCCTGCCCACTGGGATGTCACCACCCTGCCCATGGGCTGCTGCTGCCTGAGCAGTTGTGCCCTGCCTGCAGGTCTCTCTGACCCGTGTCAAAGCCTGTGGCAGACAAACAGGGTGGATTTCAGGTGGATGACAATTCCTTGCCCACTCCAGGCAGCCCTGATGCCCTGTCCCAGCATTCCTGCTCTGCATCCCATAACATCATCCTGTGCCCCCCTGTGCTGCAGGTACCAGTACCCATCCATGGACCAGCTGGCTGCCATGCTCCCCAGTGTGGTGCAGCACTTTGGGTAAGTCACCTCCCCTCTGCACTGCTGGTTGGGGGTGCTGGGCAGAGATGGGCAGAGGACAATGCTTTGGGGCTGGGGAGGTGTCCCAGTAAGCTGGCATCGTGCATGTGCCCTTGTGCTGCAGGTGGAGGGGTGCCCCAGGGAACCCATGCTGGAGCCCACTGGCCCCCCATACCTCTTCACTTTCCAGGTTCAAGTACGTGATCGGGATTGGTGTTGGGGCAGGAGCCTACGTGTTGGCCAAGTTTGCGGTGAGCTGGGGCTGGGCTGGGCTGGCCCTGAGTTACCTGTAGCTGCTGTCAGCCCAGGGCATGGGGAAGACCAGGATCTGACACCCCTGGGCAGGCTGTGACCCTGTGAAGGCTCCTGGAGGAATGGGGGCCCAGGATGACAATGTGGTCATGCTGGCCAGGTCTTGCCACAGGTCTCCCATTGCTCCCAGTGCAGTGGGCAGTGGTGCTGGTGGGGGCTGCCCTACCCCCCTGAGCACTGCCCCTCTTGCTTGCTGCAGCTCATCTTCCCCAACCTGGTTGAAGGACTGGTCCTCATGAACATTGACCCCAACGGCAAAGGCTGGATTGACTGGGCAGCTGCCAAGGTGGGCAGAGCCCTGACCCCGCTCCCTGGGGCAGGAGCCAGCTAAGTGGCACTGTAACTCCCTGTGCTCCCTCCACAGCTTTCTGGCCTCACCAGCACACTGCTGGATACTGTCCTCTCCCACCTCTTCAGCCAGGTAAGTGATCCCGATGCATCCTGATGGTCACCAGCTTCTCATCCTGCATCCCTGTGGGCTGTGCCTTGCCATGTGGCATTGGACCTGCCCTATATCCACAGGGATGAGGTTAGTCAAGCCCTGCCTGATCTGGGGCTTAGCCTTCACAAGTGTGTGACTCATGCCCACATCCTTCCTGGGAATGATGCCTGCAGCTCCACTGTGCCCAGCTGCATGGCCCAGCATCTTCCCTCTCTGGCACAGCATAGGCAGGTTGGGGGGGAGTGTGGTGTCTGCATGGCATCAGGCAGTGCCTGCCCTGATCCCCACCCCTGCTGGCACAGGAAGAGCTCATGAACAACACAGAGCTGGTGCAGAGCTACCGGCAGCAGATCAGCAGCATGGTGAACCAGTTCAACCTCCAGCTCTTCCTCAACATGTACAACAGGTGAGTGTCTGGGCTTCCCATCTGCGCCAGGCTGCAGTGCTGGTGGGACACCTGGCTTCGTTGAGTGCTGCCATCACCCTCCGGCACAGGCAGCAGTGTAGAGCTTGCTGCTGGTGCTGGCCAGGGATGCAGAGCCTTGCTATGTCCCAGAGCCTGCATGTCCCCTGTTTCCTGCACTGGGTGCTAGCACAGAGAAGGGGACAGAGATGCTGTCCCATCATGCAGGGGGTTGGGAGCCTTGTTACTGCACTGGGTGCTAGCACAGAGAAGGGGACAGAGATGCTGTCCCGTCATGCAGGGGGTTGGGAGCCTTGTTATTGCACTGGGTGCTGCACCCTACTTGGGTCATGGCAGAGATGGATGTGGGGTTCTCCATCCACAGCATGCTGGGGCAGTGGGGCTGGGCGCTGCTTCCCAGAGCTGGCAGTGCTATGAAGCATAGCAGCTCTTGTGCTATGGCATCAGTGGCAGCACTGGCCCGTAGGGTCACACTCACCCTCTTTCTCCTCCATCAGCCGCAGGGATCTGGACATAAACCAGCCTGGGACTGTGCCCAACGCCAAGACACTGCGGTAGGAGTTGCACCAGAATGGTATAGGGTTGGTCCCAGGGCAGTGGAGTCCTCCCAGGCCAAACCCTGACTGTGCCTTTTCCTCCTCTCACTTCCAGCTGCCCTGTGATGCTGGTGGTTGGAGACAATGCGCCTGCTGAAGAAGGGGTGGTGAGTGATGGGGTAGTGCCTGCGGAGTGGTAGTGCCCATCACTACATGGGCACACACACATATGGCTGCTCAGATATACGTGAGCACCCATGTGCAGGAGCGTGCTCATGTACCAACCTACCTGCTCATGTGTACATGTGCATGGTGACACACCTGTAAATCTCCCCTTCCTCTTATGCCCAGATGCACACAGTGTGCACACTCGGATGTGCTGGCACACAGGCACCCTCCCTGCTTGGCCACATGCACTCAAAGAGCTGCTGGCACACACGTGTCGTCCATGCTTGCACAATCAATCAGCCTCAGGTATTGTGCAGGTGACCACACTTGCATGTAATGTGTAAGTACATGCACAACCCCCTCCAGCATGTGTGTCTCTGTGCATACACACATGCTTGTACATATGTGTGACACACAGGATGCCTGGCAGGAGAAAGGTCCCCTCAGTCCCATGTGTGCAGGTTCAGGGATTGCCTTCCTGTCTCCACCTGGCTGGGGGTGGGATGTGCCACTGAAGTGCCATGGGCCAGTGGCACTACCCATGTGCAACTTCTGCCCAGCTCAGGGCATCCCAGGGTGCTATTATCACCCCTCTTGCCTGCAGGTGGAGTGTAACTCCAAGCTGGACCCCACCAATACCACCTTCCTGAAGGTAGGCCAGTGGCAGAGGCAGCCAGGAGGTCCCTGCTGCCCATCAAGTGCCCATTCCCCTCATCCCCAGGGTTGCAGGGTGTCCCTATCTCCCCATTCTAGGTCCATCCTGGCCATGGATGGTCCATCTTGGCCATGAGAAGAGCAGGGTGGCCCCAGCAGTGTCACCCTGGGTACCAGGGGACAGGGTGGGTGGCGAAGGCTCCCTCCCAGACTAAACAGGACCTTGTCTCTGCAGATGGCTGACTCCGGTGGGCTGCCCCAGGTCACACAGGTGAGCCCTCACAGTGTCCCCAGATTGGGTATACTGGGCCTGAGACATGCCTTGGTGCTGTCCCTCACCTCTGCTCTCTCCCACAGCCCGGCAAGCTGACTGAGGCCTTCAAGTACTTCCTCCAGGGCATGGGCTACAGTGAGTACTGGGCTGGGCATGGGGCTGACATGTGTCTGCATGTGCACATGCGTGTGTGCTCATGTGTGTGTGTGTGCTGACCTGGCTGCAGGAGAGGAGCCTGGTACCCTGGTGTACCCATCCTGAGGGAGAGCTGCATGTGTGTCTGTGGTGTATTTATCCTTGTCTTTGGGGGGGGGGGGGAATGGGGTGGGGTGTGAGCAGGCTCCACATGCACACAGATGTGTGTACAAGGGCTCTGTGTGTACATGTGTGTGTGGACAGCATGTCTGTGCATGTGTGCACACATACCTGTATGTGAGCGTGCACAAGCAGGGACTTTGTGTGCATGCACAGACACACAGAATCCATGTGCACAAGTCTGTTCACATAGGTGTGTGTAGGTCCATGAGGACATGTGTGTATGCATGTGTATGTGCAGGTCTGTGTGCACACTTGTGCGTGCATATGCGTGAAGGTCCATGTATACATATGTGTGTGAAAGTCTGTATGCACATGTGCAGGTCCATGTGCATGCACATGTGGGGCTGGGGGGGTGGAGGTGTCCTGGCCCCGCAGAGCAGCCAGCCTGGCTGATGGCGTCTCTCTGCCCTCCCTGCCCCTGTTACACCCCACTGCTGCCAGTTGCCCACCTGAAGGGTCAGCGGCTAAGTGGAGGCTCAGGTACTGCTCAGTGCCTGCTGCTGCATGGTGCTGCCCAGCCTGTGCCCTTGAGCTGCCTGAGCACCTTTGGGAGCAGCCTGGGTGCTGAAATGGCCCTTCCCAGCCAGATGTCCTATCTTGCTCCGCTTTGCCTGAGATGAGCCCCCTGACCCATGGCTGAGGGCTGAGAAATGAGATTCAGAGAAATCCCCCACCAAGTGGGCAAGTCTTGGCAGTGCCCACTGTGCATCCTGGATGGAGGAGGGTTGGCACCATCTCTGTACACCCTGGTGAGCCCAAAGCACTCCCATCCTGGCTCACTCCTTGCCTGAAGCATGGTGAACAGGGTCCCCACTGCATCATGCCCAGTGGTCACATTCCCAGGATATGTATTCCTGCAGCAGGTGGCTGAGCTGCAGGAAGCTATTAATAGGCTACAAGATGTCAGGGTAGCTGAGAGGAAGCAGGAATGCTTGCTCCCTGCCCAAACTGTGCAGAGTCCTCAAGCTTCCCCTGTAGCTCATGGAGGAAAGAAGGAGGTTGTTAACCCTCAAAGCTGGGAATTGGTGACAAAAAAAAACACAACAACAAAAAAAGGAGGAAAAGGACAATTAAAAGCAAGGGACTTCCTCCTAATCCTGTTGCCCCCACACAGAACCGCTTTGCTGTCCTGCAGGGGGCTCATGAGGAAATGCACTTCTGCCAGAAACATCCGGCTGATTCACTAGTAAAGAAGATTTCTACTGGTGCTGCCAGGAAAAAGCGACGGGTCGTAGTAGTAGGGGATTCTACTTTGAAAGGGACAGAAGCACTTATCTGTCGGCCTGACTCGGTCTCAAGGGAAGTGTGTTGCCTACCAGGGGCACGGATCAGGGATGTGGCAGAGAGGCTGCCTGCTCTGGTAAGCCCCATGGACTATTACCCACTTCTGGTGATACATGTGGGTGCTAGGGATACAGATAGTAGTAGCCTGGGGAACATAAAGAAGGACTACAGAGCCCTGGGAGAGGTGGTTAAGGGCTCTGGAGCTCAGATAGTCTTTTCGTCTATTCTTCAGGATACAGGGGAGGACCTAAAAAAATCTAGGAGGATTAGCCAGATTAATAAATGGTTAAAAGGGTGGTGTCACAGTCAGGGGTTTGGGTGTCTTGAACACGGGACCCAAGTTTGTAGGCCAGGTCTAGCGGGGGCTGGTGGAGCTGGTCTGATAAAGAAGGGGAAGAGCAGTTTTGGTAGGAGGCTTGCCAGACTGGTCAAGGAGGCTTTAAACTAGATGTGTTGGTGTCGTGGTTTAAACCCTGCCAGACAGTTTGTGCACTTACTCCCAGTGAGTGGTGCCAGGCTGGAAGCAATCGAGGCCCACGTTAGTGTCCCCCCCCTTCCCCAGGGGCTGCCCCCCCTTCCCCACTCCCAGAGGGATGGGGAGGACAATCGAAAGAATGCAACTCCCACGGGCTGAGATAAGAACAGTCTAGCAACTAATGTACAATACGAATCACCACCGCTACCACCAACGACAACAATGATAAGAGAAAATAGCAAAGGAAAGGAGTACAATACCACGCGCCGAACCACCAGTCCGACCCGGCCGACCCCCTGTCCTTCCGGGTACCTCCCAGTTCCCCCCTGGGCATGACGTGCTGTGGTATGGAATACCTCTTTGGTCAGTTTGGGTCAGGTGTCCTGTCTCTGCTTCCTCCCGGCTTCCCCTCCTCCCTGGCAGAGCATGAGGCTCACAAAGTCCTTGGCCAAACCAAAACATCATTTTTATCAGCTTTGTTCCCAGCCCGAAAGTCAAAACACAGCACTGCACCAGCTACCAAGAAGGAGAAAAAATGACTGCTGCTGCTAAACCCAGGACAGCTGGGGGAGGGGGGCATCATTCCATCCCAACACACCCAGTCAGTTGCCAGCACCTATAATAAATGCTCGGAGCAATGCAGAGATGTTCTGGCTGCTCCTGCCAATGAGCTGGCTTCATTTGGAGCTCGGCTCAGATGCCTCTATACAAATGCCCGTAGCATGGGGAACAAACAAGAGGGATTAGAGATGTGTGCTTGTCTACGGGGGTATGATATTATAGGCATCACAGAAACATGGTGGGATGGCTCCTATGACTGGAGTGTTGGAATGGAAGGTTACAGACTCTTTAGAAAAGGCAGTCCTGGCAGGCGCGGAGGGGGAGTTGCCCTTTATGTTAGGAATAGGCTGGAGAGTATGGAACTCTGTCTGGGGACTGGTAAGCAGCACATGAAAAACAACAAGGTGCTTGGTGACAGCCAGCATGGCTTCACCAAGGGGAAATCCTGCCTGACCAATTTTGTGGCCTTCTATAATGGGGCTACAGAACTGATAGACAGCGGTACAGCAGTTGATATCATCTACCTGGATTTGTGTAAAGCGTTCGACACTGTCCCACATGACATTCTTGTCTCTAAATTGGAGAGACATCAATTTGATGAATGGACCACTCGGTGGATAAAGAGCTGTCTGGATGGCCACGCACAAAGAGTTGTGGTCAATTGCTCAACGTCCGCCTAGAGACCTGTAACGAGTGGTGTCTCTCAGGGATCGGTGTTGGGACCGGTCTTGTTTAACATCTTCGTCGCTGACATGGACAGTGGGATTGAGTGCGCCCTCAGCAAGTTTGCTGATGACACCAAGCTGTGTGGTTCAGTTGATACGCTGGAGGGAAGGAATGCCATCCAGAGGGACCTTGACACGCTTGTGAGGTGGGCTGATGCCAACCTCATGAAGTTTAACCATGCCAAGTGCAAGGTCCTACACCTGGGTCGGAGCAATCCCAGGCACAGCTACAGGCTGGGCAGAGAAGAGATTCAGAGCAGCCCTGCGGAGAAGGACTTGGGGGTGCTGGTCGATGAGAAAATGAACATGAGCGGCTGCAGTGTGCAATTGCAGCCCAGAAAGCCAACCGTATCCTGGGCTGCATCAAAAGGAGTGTGACCAGCAGGTCGAAGGAGGTGATCCTGCCCCTTTGCTCTCGTGAGACCTCACTTGGAGTATTGTGTGCAGTTCTGGTGTCCTCAACATAAAAAGGACATGGATCTGTTGGAACAAGTCCAGAGGAGGGCCACGAGGATGATCAGGGGACTGGAGCACCTCCCATATGAAGAGAGGCTGAGAAAGTTGGGACTGTTCAGCCTGGAGAAGAGAAGGCTGCGTGGAGACCTCATAACAGCCTTCCAGTATCTGAAGGGGGCATATAGGGTTGCTGGGGATGGACTCTTTATTAGGGACTGTAGTGATAGGACAAGAGGTAATGGGTTAAAACTTAAACAGGGGAAGTTTAGATTGGATATAAGGAGGAAATTCTTTCCTGTTAGGGTGGTGAGGCACTGGAATAGGTTGCCCAGGGAGGTTGTGAATGCTCCATCCCTGGCAGTGTTCAAGGCCAGGTTGGACAAGGCCTTGGGTAATATGGTTTAGAGCGAGGTGTCCCTGCCCATGGCAGGGGGATTGGAACTTGATGATCTTAAGGTCCTTTCCAACCCTAACCATTCCATGATTCTATGATTCAATGTTCCCAGTGTGCAACTTGTCCAGGGGCCGCTGTCCCTGCCCTGCTGTCCTTTGCCAGCCTGGAGCTTGCTCATGTTGTCACAACACTGCATGCTTCAAGCTAGTGCCCAGTGTCATTTGCCTCAGGGAGGGAGACCTGTGGCTTTTCTTGTTTGAGTCACTGTTGGCTCAGATCCTGCTGGATTTTCAGAGGAAACTGAGCAGCCCATTCATGTCTGTGCCCATGCAGTGCCATCTGCCAGTATGACCCAGCTGGCACACTCCCGCATAGCCTCCCTCACTAGCACCAGCTCTGTGGATGGCACCTGTCCGCATGCCTGTACCCACTCAGAGGGCACCGAGACCATGGGGCAGATCAACCACACCATGGAGATATCGTGCTGAGGTCTACGCCTGCCACTGACGTCTTCTCCAGAGCCATCTCCCACCCATCATCATCACACCAGCACCTGCCTGCCCTGTCAACATCCTCCACCAGGGCCCTCACTCCTTCAGGGTCAATTTGTCTTCTTGGCCATTGGCCCTTGTCTGGTATCAGAGGAGAGGGGCATTGCATCCCAGCCTTCAACTCCTGGCTCCGTCCAGCGGTCACCATGGTTCTACATCAGTCCTCAACCTTCCCAGCATCGGCCTGGCTCTGGCTTTGGAGGGTAGGTGGTGGTGGGGACAGAATGGAGGGAGCAGGGTGAGGTGGGGATAGGATGATGGGATGGGACAGGACAGCAGGACATGGAAGGCGCAGGAGGTAGGTTGTTGCCCAGGTATCAACCGACATCTGGCCAAGCCAGAAGGAAGACAGGGAACAGTGCTCACTGGGGGAGGTCCCTGGGCCCTTCCCGGTGATGCAGCTCCCTTTCTCCCAACCAGTCCTCCCTGAGGAGAGCTGGTACAGGATCCCCAGCACACCCAGGACCTGCTGCACTGGAGCTGGCCCAGCATTGTGAGAAATCACATCCCAAACTGTCCCCATGCCCTGGTCATGTACCCTGAAGGTTGCCCTGGAGCAGTGGGCTCAGCCCTGCTCCAGAAGCCATTGGGGCAGGAAGGTATCATGTGGGGGAGGGTCCCCCATCTCTGCTCTTGCACATTGTCCTGGGTTTAGCAGTAGCAGTCATTTTTTCTCTTTCTTGGTAACTGGTGCAGTGCTGTGTTTTGACTTTGTTGGCACTTCCTTGGTTGGGGGTAAAGGGGAGCTGTATGTTCTGACTTGCTTAGTCCCTGGCCACTGGGTTTAATATGTGACATGGCAAATCCCCCTCCAGTTTCACCACAGCCTGTGGGTGTAACTGCAAGAAGCCAAGAGCAATGAGACACTCCCACCCCCCTCTGCAATGCTGGGGACCCCTCAGCACTCTCTGCCCTGCAGGGTGCATCACTGTAAGATTCTGTTAGTGTGGGGTGACCTGGATGTGGAGAGCTTGCCAGTGGCTGGCTTTGCCCACAGAGCTGGCCACTCATCATGGCCCACATAACCCCTTCTCCCCCCAGCATCTCACATGCAGAGTGGGGTGTCTCAAGGGTTTAGCTCTCCCCAAGCTTTTCAGCCCATCCAGCCACTGGCTCCAGTGGATCCAGTCTGTGCTGGACATGGAGAGCTGTGTCACTGCATAACCCACGTGGCCCCCGCTGCCATCCCTACCCTACCCTGCACAGAGCCCAGGCCCTCCTGCACTAGGGGCAGTGGCAATGGGCACTCAGGCCTTTGTGGGGGACCTGAGCAGGGACCTGGAGGGAACCCACTGGGCACTACCAGCTGGGTGAGCAGGTCCCACCCAGTTCCCCCAAAGTAACTGCCCCCCAGGCCTCATCCCCACTCCACAGCAGGGGGCACAGAGCTCACAGAATGTGCACAAGGGCTTTTGGCTGCAAGACCCATGCCCTGACCCACCCTATCAAACGGCCACCTGAGACAAGGAGGCACAAAATGAAATGCAAACCTTTGTAAATAAGTAGAATCAGTTCTAAGTAACATTAAGTTTGATGTCTTTGTAACAGTAGCAATGGAAAATAACAGGTATGTTTCACAGAAGAAAATAGAGTAGCTAGAGAACATAATGAGAATTCATGTATGATATAAACCGTTGTAGTTGGTGTAGTTTTAGGTCCTTATGACCTTAGTACAAAAATAAGTGTAAGAAAAACAGGATAGAAAACCAGGGTGCGCAGATAAAAAGTATCTGAAACTAGCAGGTGTCCAGAATGGGCTGCAGCTAAGCTAACTGGTAAGTAGAAGGACAGGATGATTGCTGTGTCTGCAGTGTTACCAAACCAATTCAGCTGGTGTAAGCATTATCTACTGCGCATGCTTCATAGGCTGTTAGAAGTGAAGAAGATTGTTGGAAAAAGTAAACAACCCCAAAAGACCACTACTACGTTGCTGTGCGCATGTGAAAATGGGCATGGAATTATGTAAAGCGGTTCTTGGATGATTAATGAGTATGTATGACGTTTAATGAATATGTATGTTAAACACCAATATAACCACAGTCTGTTTGAAGTTTGGCTGAGACACGCTAGGTGGAGGTATCCCCCATGTCTCCCGGCACCGCAATAAATACCTGCTTGTCAACTTAAACTTTGTTGGTGAGTTCCTGGAGATTTCTCTGAATCACACCACAAAACACCAGTGTCCCCATGTGTCCCCCACTTGGTTCTGCCATGTGCTTCCTTCTCAGTGTGACTCTGAAAGCTGTGTAGCTCCTTTTTATTGTAGGTACTGCTGCGATCTCTTGTTTTCTCAGTTTGTCCTTCCAGATGATTATATATAAAGATACCTATATACATGATACATATAAGGGTTGGTGCATTCCCTGACCTTCCTGGGTTCACCCACCCTTGCATTCTCATCCCAGTGGTGCTATGTGGCTCCCCTGGAGGTGGTCTGGCTGTGCTTCAGTTCCTCACCCTGGTTTTGTTGGTTGGTTTGGTTTTCCCTGGTGGCCTGTTCTTTTGGGGTTTGTTGGTTTTCCTATTTTCCCCAGTCACAGAGGAATTTAATGCATTTTCCTGTCCAAGTGCAACCTGGGCTTGTCACAGTAGCATCAAGGCTGCAGCACTCACGAGATGGCAGTATGTAAACTAACCTGTTGCTATAGAGAGGATTTATTGTGTTGGAAAAAAACAACCAAGCAGCTAATAAAGATGTTAAGAACCTGCTGTGCTCTTTCCAACACGCTGCACAGAAATAGTTCTGGGCTCATCCTGGGCCTGTCTGCAGACATCTGGTGGGCAGAGAGGACAAGGGGGACACCTTGGCCACAAACCCCATCTGGGGCTGCACTTCTGGGGGAGAGGGACCAGGGTGCCCCTGGAGAGGAGCCCAGGACTCCAAAATGCCCATGGAGGGGAGCCATGGGGTGCTTTGGGGCAGCCACAGGCAGAGTACCCCATATGTTGGGACTGGATGGAGACTGGAAAGCTGCCAGTTGCGGTCCATGGAGGTTGGATTCAAGGAAAGACCCTTGGCTGCACAACTCTGGGGATGAGCAGTGTCCTTGGGAGATCCAGCCTCCCTGTGCTCTTCCAGTATTGCAGGCCTCTGTTTGTGTCCCCATCAAGGTTTGAATATCCCAGGCCATAACCCTTTCCAAGTGCAGGAAGAGCTCCTTGGGAAAGATCCCTTTCTGTCATGGTTTAACCCCAGCTGGTAACCTAGCACCACACAGCCACTTGCTCATGGCCACTCCTTCCCCACCTCAGGTGAGATGGGGACAAGAATCAGAAGAATGTGAAACCCATGGGTTGCGATAAGAACAGTTTAGTAACTGAAATTAAAGTAAAATGTAATGATAATTGAAATAATATCAACAATAACAATATGATAATAATGGATGACAAAACCAAACCAAAACAAAAAAAAAAAAAACCCTCAGAATATCCAAGTGATGCACAGGAGAATCTCTCACCACCCACTGACCGATCCCAGCAGTGATTGGTGCCTCCTGGCTAACTCCTCCCAGTTTCTATCCTGAGTATGATGCTCCATGGTTTGGAATACCTCTTTGGCTAGTTTGGGTCAGGTGTCCTGTCTCTGCTTCCTCTTGGCTTCTTGTGCCCCTCCTCACTGGCAGAGCATGAGACTGAAAAGTCCTTGATCACAGTAAACATTACTTAGCCACAACTAAAAACACTGGCGTTATCAGCATTGTTCTCAGGCTAAAGGTAACGTGTACTGCCTCTCTGTGAGGTCTTTGAGAGCCCAAGTCCCAAAGTGCAAACATCCAGGCCCTGCTCCTAAACCTAAGGTGCCAGGACAGAAAGCTAGTGCTAGGCATCACCAGCTTTCTGTCCTGGCACAGGACATGCTCACCTGGGCATGGCGAGCTTTGGAACAGTGCCACCAACATGAATATCCACCCTTGCTTTGCCACCTAAAACTCCATCTGTGTACTGCCTCTGTGGGAGCTCTTCAGGCCACCCAGAGATAGAGCTGGGGACCAGCCGCCTCAGTGTTCCCACAGAACACTGTGCTCCCTAGGGGCACCACGCAGCCCCTCCTCACTCTACCCACTCCAAAGTCCAGTTCTCCAACAGTTCCAGCCTGACCCATTCCCACTGCTGCTTTAGGGCAAACAGCTTCACCTCCAGTCCTGCTTCAGCAGGAGGAACACACTGAGCTCCAGCAGCACAGACTGTCAATGATCCTTTTGCTGCCTAGATTTAATGTATGGAGCTTTTTTTTGAACAGAAACAACTTCACTGGCTTTCTTCAAGAGCTTTAAGCCCCATTAAGGGCTCAGGATGTAACTAAAAAGGCAAAAAGGCAGCAAAAAGCAACACACAGCATCAGAGTTTGCAAGCAGCAGGAGCTGCTCCATGAGGAGGCACCTGAACTGAAAGTCCGTGAGTCCCTCCTCGCTCGATGCTAGAGACATGGGAGAGACGCTGCTGGCGCCGTTCTGGGATGGGTTTTAGCTGATCGAAACCTGCAGAAAGGGTTGGCTCTTGCCTTACTCCTCCTCACACCCTTCCCAAACTGGGTTTCCAGCTCAATCAGCTGAAGCACCTGATCCCAAATCAGACTTAGGTTGGTATAAGACAACCAGGAAACTCTAATCCTGGGACAGAATAAGCCAGAGCAAAGCTTCTGGATGAGTATCACCCCTCACACCGGCAGCTGCTGAAGTATCCCTGGAGTTATGAGGACAGTGCACCACACCTGCCACAAGCGACCCTTAAGAAACTATTCTTATAACGAAAAGAGAAAATGAAGGAAAGTTAAACACCCAGGTCAGAAGAAGATGCTGTCTGGGTTGGGTTTATTCCTGAGCGAACACTCACCCTGTCCCAAGAGCCATTTTCCCCTCCTACCCACATACAACCTCCACCACAGGACCCTCCATGTTTGAGGCATGTGGTTCCCACTCCACATGCCTCCCACTGACCCCTCAGTAGAGTAGCTCCATCCTCACGGCACTGGCTGCTCCCCTCCAGGCTGTCCTGAGGATATGCTCTGTGAGCTGAGCCCTCAGGCAACACCTGGATAGAACACAGTCCTTCCCAGGCAAAGCTATGGACTGGAGCAGCACGAAGCACCCAGCACAGTGAGAGCAAGAAGACACAGCACAGGGAACACCTAGGGGAAGCACTAGAGGAGAAACAGCCGTGCCAGCAGAAGCCTGCAGACCTTTGCCTGGGAGGCTGCAAAAGGAAGGCCCCAGCTCTGCCCAAACAGCAGCTATGTAGAAAGAGCTCCAGGAACACCCAATGGCCGGGGGTGAAGCAGCCGCTTCCCATCTTTGCAGCCGGGACAGAGAGCGGGATGAGCTTGGGAGACCTCAGGGAGAGATGGTATGGCCCCAGAAGGCGATAAGCCCAGGCTGACAGGAGACGGACCTTGCACAATGGTGACGGCCGCCCAGCACCAGCCTGCAGTGGCTTCTGCCACTGCCCAATGAGCCCCTCGTGTCCTCCAGCCCCAGGCAGGACTGTCCTGGAGCCAGCCAGCTCCGGAAGCGCCGCAGAAGTGTTATAAGTTAGGACAAAGGTCTAGGAGCCAATTGTGGTGAATAATAAAAAGTTATTAAGCAAGTGGTAAATCGGCAGAACAGCGCTGGGCGGCCGGGGAGCCACTGCTCCGCC